AAAAAAAGGTTTAGCCTTGTGTAAATAAAATATTATAAATAATGTAAATTATAATAGGCCTTTATTATAATAAAACAAAATTAAACACAAAAACCAATTACCTAAAAGTTAGTGAAATACATAAATATGTAGCAAAATATATCATCAATTTTAAAAATTAATTTAAAACGTTTTAACTTTAAAGAATTTACATTTGAAAAAATATAAATTAATGAAATATAATTAAGATATAGGCCTCTGTCTGGCCAAGCAATGGCCTAATTAATATTATTATATAATTATGAAATTAGGACTACCCTTGCGCCCTACAACAGACAGAAAATGGATTATTTCAAGGTTTCTTTATTGAAGTTTTGCAGTCACTCCGGAGACATCCATATCACTGACAAATGAAATTTAAACGGATCATTGTTAGTGTGACAGGTTATATTATGGCCTGTAATTAGACCTACACGATTGATGCAATACAATACAATATTAAAACAATGTCTGTTTATATCACGAGTTACCGGATATAATACGTGTTGTATGCAATGAAATAAACTATATTTTCGGATTGCACAAGGTACGGTATATTATATTATCTTTTACAATCATTATGAAACTGAATATTTTTTCATGCTCTGGATGTGATATACAGTATCGTTAAGAATGTTATCAAGTTGCCTAAAAATATACTATGTTTGTGGTGGTATTACTGAATTATTTCTTAGCAGTTTTAAATATTCAGTTAATTCTTGCTTTATTAAAAATGCAGTCAAATAATGTACCAGATGATGCCATATTAAAAACAGCCGTTTTAACATACATACATATTTGTTTATTTTGTTTCGATTTTTATTTATTTCACAAAGTCACATTCATATTCATATACAGTATTATCATTACAATAGAAATTTTTGAAAATTTAAAGTATGTCTAAAAAATTAATTAAAAAAAAGAAAATGAGATGTAAGGAATTACATTAAAAGCAAAGCCTTTACCATGTAACTCTCTTAAATAATAATATAATTAATTCTTTAAAAAAACTTTATCTATGCCTAAGAATAGTTTAGAGGTAATTCTATCCCACGCCGGACACCATCCCGGTATTTCTGAGTCGAGGTTTTGGCCTTAATAAAAGATTGCTAGTACAAGTAAAATGTTTTACGAGAATTCATTTAATCTTCTAGTCATCTGAAGGTAAAATTATTCCCCACCGGACATCATCCCGGTATTTCTGAGTCTAGGTTTCGAGGCCGGAAGATTACGTGGTGAATCAAATCATGATAAATAAGCCAAAGCTACTGATACTTAACTACAGTAAAAATGAAATAATTTCAAACTTGTTTCATATTTTCAATAGGCTGAATGTGCAAGTTATGTTTGAAGTTTTTGTTGTTGTTGTTGTTGTTGTTGTTGTTGTTTTTTTTTTTTACGTTGTAGTTGATAACCTATTTGATCCGTATAAATGACATATGCAACATTTGGATAGATTTTTTACTAATTAGCATAATACTCCATTATACTTGTCCAAAGTTGTAATCTGTATTATTTGGTTTGTTTTTGTTGTGAGACTGTACTATTGTGTTGCATGGGGTTCCTGAATAATGACCAATTTTATGTCGACAATTGTTTTTCTAAATCATTGAGGGTTAGCTTGTCATAACCACATGGGAAAGGTGCAATATAAATACCCATTACCAGTACCGTACTCCATTAAATATTACATCAATTCAGGTAAAAAAAAAGAAACAACCCTATAATTGAGAAAGCTTCAGGGGTGGCACCAGCTGGGGAACTGGGGGGGGGGCCACTCCCCCCCCCCCCCGGGAGAAAAACCACAATACTAAGGGGAGAAAAAAGGTTTTCTACATAATAATAGACTCTTAAATCGATTAAATAAGATTTGAAATCCCTAAATTGTCAAAATTTTCGGGGCTTCGCAACCTGGACCGCTTTCGAGGCCTTTTAAGCGACGCTTGACCACGCCCATTTTGCTATCGTGATGGAAATCTGACCCCTCGTTAAGGGAATCGGCCCCGCCCCCCTCCGGTCGGAGACCTCTGACCCCGTAGGGAAAATCATGGTGCCACCCCGGGACAGCTTAGGGTGGGTACTACTACATGTAGACGAGGTTGACTGGTTTAAATATTTTTTTATTGAAGTCTGGTCATTTAATTTTGTAAAAAAAGAGGAGGTTGCGTCAGAGAAAGTACAATTTGGCTTACAAAACGATATTGAATTGTAAATTATTGGTCCGACCAAAACCGGACCAGCCGGACCGCCTTCGACGCTCTTGATACTTTCATATTTTCATATTGTATAAAAAAAATGTTTCTGTTATAATATTTGAAAACAGGGACGTAGGATTTTGAAAGGGGAGGGAGCCGTTATTCGAGGCACGTAGTACCGAACGGGGGTGGGGGTGTCCTCCTTGCCTACGGCTGGGGTACGCCAAGGACCCCGGTGGGTTCCAGGGGGCTTCGCATCATAAGGCCTATTAGTAAGCCTAACAATAATTATAATTCAACAGTGGCGGATCCAGGAATTCGAATAAGAGGTGACCCACAGCCGGGAGATACTTTCACAGACTGGGGAACCACCCAAAACCCACCATGATTGGGGCTGAGGTAAAAATATTTATGATTAGGGCATCTCTCTATATGGCCGGAAATTACACTGTCGGACTTATTAGGGGTGGGCTTGAATCCGCCACTGCTCAAAACACTCTTTTTTCCAAAAAAGTCATAATCACGAAATATTGGCATGAAAATCCAGATAATCCTGAAAACAAATGCACCCTCGCCTCAGCAGTCAATAGGCCTACATAGACTCTGAGTTTTTAAGTGCCGACTCGATAGATTTTAATGTCATACCCAGGAAAGGGCGCAGATCTGTTTGGAAAGGTGAAGTGTGGGGGGAAATTACGAGAGTCCAGCACCACAGACCCACCATAGTTGGAGCTGACGGTGCGAAATTTTCAGGAAATAGTACTCTTTAAAGATTTATTTCTGATCTATTTAAACAGTGCGGGACAATATTAGGGTGGACCCACTTTTACGCGTAAATTAATAATGTGGACCCATTTTCTTAAAAGTTGACCCATTTTAATAAAAAATTTGAAAAATCTGGACCCATTTTCTAAAAACTTTACCCATATTTTAGGCTAAATATGAGAAATCTGGACTCATTTTGCATAAAATTGCATAATTTGGACCAATTTTTAAGTAGACCCATTAGAAAAATTGTGTGGGACTGTCCCAAGAATAGCTGGCTACGGCACAATTGCATGTAGATGACCAGAAATGACAATTTCAGTAAAATTCGCCATCAATTTTAGTAAGATTCATCTTTTTATTGCATAAAGTCAGAGTTGATTATAACTATCACACAGCGTAGGACAGCAAAATGATCTAAACATATAATACCATGATGTTCAATTTGTATTTGTAATTTGCGCCTGTATAGGCCTGTGCCGGATGCATATTTACATATCTTAGAATTAAAGTTATTCATTTTGAGTGATCCCAGGAAAGAATTTGTATTGGCTAGCAAGAACAAGTTCTAAAATTTTAACAACTGTGTAAAAAGGGGAACAAAAGGCAAGATGCCGCCCCCTATATTCCTCATAACTTCTGACTCTTCCACGACACAGAGACAAGAATGCACATACTGTCAACAAAACAGTACAAGTGATGTAGTGAAATGCATTTAACGTTGTAATTGTAGGTGTATCAATGTGGCGAATAAATTAATTAGAGGTGAGTGTGACAGCATGCTCTATATTTTTTTGTAATAATTTAGGCCTACCATACTTAGTATCATCAGTTCTAGTCTAGGCTAGGCTGTAAGCTAGCTAGAGCAGATTAAATTGCTCAGCGCAGATGAGAGCAGAGTGCGGTGCTATCAAAACAAAGCAACGTGTGAAACAATAGATAGGCCTAGGCCAAGGGCTAATTGAAATAAGCTAGTCCTGGGGCTGAGGTAAAAACATTTATGATTAGGGCATCTCTCTATATGGCCGGAAATTACACTGTCGGACTTAGATTTAAATATATATATATATTTTTTTTTATTCCATTGAATAAAAAAAATTAGGCGTGGGCTTGAATCCGCCACTGCTCAAAACACTCTTTTTCCAAAAAAGTCATAATCACGAAATATTGGCATGAAAAGCCAGATAATCCTAAAAACAAATGCACCCTCGCCTCAGCAGTCAATAAGCCTACATAGACTCTGAGTTTTTAAGTGCCGACTCGATAGATTTTAATGTCATACCCAGGAAAGGGCGCAGATCTGTTTGGAAAGGTGAAGTGTGGGGGGAATTACGAGAGTCCAGCACCACAGACCCACCATAGTTGGAGCTGACGGTGCGAAATTTTCAGGAAATAGTACTCTATTTAAACAGTGCGGGACAATATTAGGGTGGACCCACTTTTACGCGTAAATTAATAATGTGGACCCATTTTTTTAAAAGTTGACCCATTTTAATAAAAAAATTGAAAAATCTGGACCCATTTTCTAAAAACTTTACCCATATTTTAGGCTAAATATGAGAAATCTGGACTCATTTTGCATAAAATTGCATAATTTGGACCAATTTTTAAGTAGACCAATTAGAAAAATTGTGTGGGACTGTCCCAAGAATAGCTGGCTACGGCACAATTGCATGTAGATGACCAGAAATGACAAGTTTAGTAAAATTCGCCATCAATTTTAGTAAAATTCATCTTTTTATTGCATAAAGTCGGAGTTGATTATAACTATCACACAGCGTAGGACAGCAAAATGATCTAAACATATAATACCATGATGTTCAATTTGTAATTTGCGCCTGTATAGGCCTGTGCCGGATGCATATTTACATATCTTAGAATTAAAGTTATTCATTTTGAGTGATCCCAGGAAAGAATTTGTATTGGCTAGCAAGAACAAGTTCTAAAATTTTAACAACTGTGTAAAAAGGGGAACAAAAGGCAAGATGCCGCCCCCTATATTCCTCATAACTTCTGACTCTTCCACGACACAGAGACAAGAATGCACATACTGTCAACAAAACAGTACAAGTGATGTAGTGAAATGCATTTAACGTTGTAATTGTAGGTGTATCAATGTGGCGAATAAATTAATTAGAGGTGAGTGTGACAGCATGCTCTATATTTTTTTGTAATAATTTAGGCCTACCATACTTAGTATCATCAGTTCTAGTCTAGACTGTAAGCTAGCTAGAGCAGATTAAATTGCTCAGCGCAGATGAGAGCAGAGTGCGGTGCTATCAAAACAAAGCAACGTGTGAAACAATAGTTAGGCCTAGGCCAAGGGCTAATTGAAATAAGCTAGTCCTAGGCCCTAGGCAGGTATACCTTGGGTAATCTACTTATACGTTGATTCTTGACATGATTCCTGAGTCTTGACATAGGGCTAAATCAGGTGAAATTGACTGAGTGAGTGTGAACATCGGTGTCGTGAACCAAATCAGTCGGTTGTTGTCAATTCATACGTGCTTGGCACTGCACCAGTTGCACTGCCTAGGCCCTAGCCTAGGCATAGTCCCATTAGGTCAAGCTAGCTAGATTATTTACAAAATTGCGTTCTTTTTACTTTATCTAACCATAACGTTTTTTCAATAATCTATTTGACTGTTCATCACAATTCTTTAAAGATCAATCAAATAAGGTCTTTTGATAATGCACTTGTCAATTGTAGTCCCGGGCACCCACAGACCCGGGCCTAACAGGGACTTAGACAGGAATGTAATTTACGAAACTGTTACGTGCATGTGAAAGTCGTGGCCTCCTCATTTCAATGTGGGGTATCATTTTAACGTGAAATGCCCCGCTAATAAATTATTGGATGATGAGGCCTACTGCAGAGCAGGACAAAAGAATTTGAAGGTCTAGCACATCAGTCTAGCCTATGTCTGAATTGGAGAAGCATGTGAGAACTAGGCCAAGGAGATGAGCTTGCTTGATGGAAGCACTACTAATGCGTATCACTAGGCAGATTTCTATGGAAGTTTGGAGAAGTGCATATTGATTGATCATAGAAAAAGAAAATTTGATTGATTTAACTGATTGATAGAATTTATTCAGTATCAAAACAGAAATTAAATAAGAAAATTAATACAGTAGTAGAAACAGACTTCCTTGCCTTGGCTCACTACTGACTGGTGTATTTTTTGATGCAAACTAGGTCAAATACACGGTTCACAAATTTTTCATACACTCACGCATGTCAACTCGGTCCCCATCGTTGTGTTGTGGAGGTTCAAATTTTATTATGTTTTAATTACCAAAGCACGCAGCAATTGCTAAATGCCTAGGGCTAGTGTAGGAGAATTACTAGGTAGGACCAGACCATTTGACAGCACTACATCCGAAACCGCAGCTACTCTAATGTGTAAAATTCCCAGCCCTTTCAATGCCGGTTACATCTACGGGTGAATTTTAGGTACGTCCCGGCACTACTGGGACAAAATTATGTGTACGTCCTCGGCTTAGTCACGGCCAGTGCTCCGCTATGGCCTGGGTCGTAGCTGCCTGGACTACAATTGACAATGTGCATTAAAGGTAAAAGCAAGTTTATTCATACTGTACGGTATAGGCCTAGTCAATAACACAGATGAGGCCTAGTCAATAACACAGATGAGGCCTAGTCAGTAACACAGATGCATTTATAGTCAATACTTTAGCTTGAATCAACAAGATATTATATTCTGTGTCAGATGGTAGGTGGCCAGGGGAGGGTGATCAATGCTTGATTGGCATGAAGACAATGCTTGTCTGATGGGAGAGCAAATCCACTGATCCCTTTTGGTGTCACCAATCCTGATCCATTTGTTTGATGGATGCCGGCACTATACAAATCTACTACTATTACTGTATTATTATTATTATTATTAAATGGGTATACAGTGTGGTATTTAAAGCCAGGGTTCAGAGGAAAGAATACTGTACAATTGAATTCTAACCTCGGTATTCTTAAAACAAAGTCGAAATTGGAACTAAAACTTCAAATTTACGTCATTTCGTATTTTCTAAAACATCGACTAAAACTACGAGTGAATAAAACGCACCTCAACTAAAATGATACCTCCACAAGCCGATTTTTTAAGTAGGCATGGCGTCATCTTAAATCGCTTACTTGAAATATTTACCCCACTAAAAACGTAACTCACGATTGAGTGAAAGGAATAAAAATGGTCGTATAAGTAGGCCTAATGCATCTTTGGTGTGTTAACCCTTACGCTGCCGATTTCGCATAAATGTGAACACTGCACAGTTGGTGTGCATGCCAGTTTCGCATAAATGCGAATAGACTCACTGTACAGCCAATGCCACCTTCGCATAAATGCGAATTGGTGAAGGTTGTCCAAATACGACCATTTAAAGCGGATGTTTTAACACTAACCCAAATAATGTTTACTGGATAGGAAAGCCAACAAATTTCTGCACATTTTGATGTGAAACTTGCCGGGGGTTGTTTTGTTAGAAGTTTGAGTTTTGGCAAGTTGAAAATATGATGTTTTGAAATGCTAAGAAATGTATTCTTCTGTAGTTGTTACAGCTGTGCTGGATAATAGGGAGACTTTGAAACTGACACAGAAAATGATGTTCTACGCCTAGGTAGGCAGACCTAACCTAGCTAGGCCTGTGCTGTGGTGGTAATGAATTAGTAAATGTACGTAGGCCTAGGGATTTGGCCTAAGTTTCGTTATTTTGATTTTTATCAGCAAGCAATTTACTGTGACTGTGAAAACACATACTGTGCTAATAGGCCTAGGCCTAATATACTTTATGTGATTACTACCAAAATATTTCTATCATTTATTCACTAAATGATAAAATGCAGAAATAAAAGCATATATGTAATGTATAAAACAAACAATGCTGAGCAATTGTTTTTAGATTTATATTTTCATAATTTCAATAGTGTATGAATTATTGAGTACCGGTAAATAATACACTATCAAAAATAAGCATTACAGTGAAAATAATTAGCAGGCACAGGGGATTAGAGGTAACATTATCAGCTGGCGCTCTGTTTGACTGATTAGGAAAAGAGCTGGCAGCGTAATGGTTAAAAGATAAAGACATCAACTTCAGCTTCCAAAATGCAAAATTAACATTTTTTGCCAGATATTTGATAGTTCCTGATTTGCTCGTAATCTCCTCGCTTTGTGGTCACAAAGCTTTATCGTAACAACAAAGATGGTGTTGCCCTCGTGCGGGCTCAACTAATATTTCTCCAAAGAAAGCAAATTTTTTGATTTTGAAGTTTAAAGTTTGACTATAGTTCGTTTTAAAAAATTTGGGTGTAAGACAATGAAGTCGTGTTGGAATGGCTCATAAGATGGATTTTTTCACTGAGGATAACCCATGAAAGTCTGAAGATAACTTATTTCCAGTGGGGTACTTCTGGTGGTGATTGGGCAGTACAACGGGAGACGATCTCCTACTCTTTTCCGAAGGGTGTACTGCATTCTTTAACATGCACATGGGCCATAATGCATGCAGCACACGAGACCAGCAACTTAAACATCTGATCCTGCGCTATCGTAAAACTTTCAGCCCTTTAGCGGAAATACAAGGAGAGTAGCAATTCGGGGATCAAAACATCTCCATGGTTCAGCGCACACTTAGAAGCTATCACCAGTTTAGCTGATTGCTCTCTATTTTTATACATCCAGATGTATAAACAAATCTGTGTCTTGTCCTTTAATATCCTTTCCAATGCTTTTTTTAAATATTGAACTATTTTTTCCTCTGGAGCTTGGCTTTTAAAACTTGTGGGATGAAACTGCTTTCACTGATTGTTCTGTTTGCTCCGTTTTTTAGGCTTGCCATCCTAAAAGCAGCATCAGTAACCCAAAAATGAAATTTGACCTTTTAATTAGGCCAAAAAATATAAATTGTTGTTTGCCCTTTTTTTTTAAATGATAAAAAGGGATGGGTGGAAAAAGTTTTTTTTTAAAAGATACTCATCAGATGGAATAAAAATAACCCACAGAGGCCTAGAATGGCAATATCTTACATCAGACAACAACTTTAGACTAATTTGTAGGGCGTCTGGCAAAAAATAAAGATAAATTCACTCACATTTTTTTTTATTTGTAAAGAAAAAAGCAAAAAAAAAAAGTCTTTTTGGTTTTTCTGCTCCTTTTTTTAAAAAGTGAGTTAAGGGCGGGTGGAGAAGGGCAAACAAACAAGTTTTTTTTTTTTTTGGCGTATTATTTTCTACATTGTAGTAAGCTTTAAAAAAAAACAAGAAAATTGACTTTTTAAAATATTCATATTCTCCACATTATAAAAAAATGGGTCATATTAATACCAGAATCGTCTTTTACTATGGCCAAAGTTATGAGTAAGTATTAGAGTATGGTTTCTCTGTACTAAAGTACTGTATACGATACAGAATCATGCGATACTGTCACACGCTAAATACTCTGTTTAACAATTAGCAACATTACGCTGGTTTTGGAATAGCAAGCCTCATTTAGTATTCAGCCTAATTGTTTATGCCACTGCAAATTTATCTATTTGTTGACCTGGTAAATAACAATACATTCATGTTGTTACATAGTTGATTAAATAACCCATTAAGCCTAGTTTTAGTGCATATTTTTCTTTGAACCTACAACTTTTGAGGTGTGCTGCTTTGATCTTTTGGAAAGGCGCCTTATGAAATGTATTATTAATTATTGAGGGGCGTAGGCTGGTTTTGGCGTTGATAGAGGATGGGTGTGTGAAAATTGAGAATGCACAACTAAATCCATGCCAGTGAAAACTTGCGTTTTTGGTATTTCAACTCACTTAGCTAATTTGCCACCATGGGGATGGGGGGGGGGGATTCACACCAAAAATACTCCTAGTATTACCACCCATCCCTGGTTTTTACAAGCTGATGTGTGTGTGTCTGTAATTCATTCATAGTTATTTGTCTAGCTTGATTCTTTGTATTAACTACAAGTTTGTAACTAATTTGTGTAATTTTGAATTAAAATGTATTCATTTATTTCATTTGTTTTATATTCAGATAGTTGTTGTTTGAGGTTAGACTGGAGCTATGGGGTTCTTGCATCAACTCCGACTTCTACTTTGGAAAAATCTTGTTTTAAAAAAACGAAGCCCGGTAAGTCTACACTACTATACTATGCATGCCAATCTGTTGCATGTCTTCAACAATGATTTATCTGCAAGAGAATTACAAAGACTGAAATTTCTTGTAACTTTATCAGTAGTAAACAATTCAAAAATATGTATGTGTGCTATGTATGTGTGTGTGTGTATGTATACATGTAATCTTGGACTTAAACCGTTTTGATGTTTCAAGTTTTTAATGATAAAATATTAAAATGGTTTAGTTCTAAAATAACTATACTTGTAAAGTTAAGAAATGTTATGTGCTGTTATTCTTAAAATGGTATAACAGACATTAACACTCTAACACCATATTTTTTTAAAAATTTCCTTTATTTTACAAAATGTACGAAAATTCACATCAGTCAAATTCCTCTCTCGATCGTTTGTGGTTGGGGATACATGTTATGAATCATGTCTAGTGCTTCTTTTATTTGCTTTCATCTTGGATTTGCCACCTCGGGGTGGGGGCTGGGGAGGGGGTGGGGAAAGAAAAAAAAGTGCCCTTATTCTTCCTTTTCCAAAAAAATAAGATGAGAAACTAGTTTTTTTTTACTTGGTCTATTGTTGTGAATAAATGAGGCCTTGCCAGAAAAGAAAAAAAAGTAGGAAGAAGTCACTTCTGGGAGATCTGGTTAAATTGGCTTTTTAACACATCTGATGTTAATTTTATTTTGTTGCGCACAGTGATATCAATTGGCACTGGCATCTGTGAGACAATTGATGATAAAAACATAATTTATTACGATTTTGTGGAAGATGGGTTATTTTCCGTGAAATTCTTGCTTGCTTGTGAATGTTCAGGAGACTTAATTGTTATGCTATACGGATTGTTAATTAATATGAGTTTGTTTTCAGTAACAAATTTTGTTTCGAGATTTCAGAAATTTTCAGGAATTATTTTTATTTTTCAGTGTATTGTACTTTCCTTCTCCTCTCTTCTATTTACGGCTATAATCTGATAATTGTTTTAATGAACCTAATAATGATAATAATAATGCTGATATAAAGCAATTTGTTTGTGTTTGTTAATTGCAGTACAAGTTCATTGTAATTTCTAATCATCTTTAAAACTGTTGAAAGATCTGTTTTTTGTGTGCTTACCAACTGGTAAGATTGTAGTGTAAGGATCTGATTCTACTGATGAGAAAGAACAGCTATTTTAAAGAAACTGTTTTAGGTCAACTTGGGGAGGTATCTCCCTGGGTCAACCTAGCCCCAGCTACTGTAATAGTACTCATAGAATTATTGAAAAGGACTGAATTGAGAATTAATATACATCCTTGATGAGACTGTGTAAAATACTTTTCATCTCAATATTTAGGCCTCTTGCATGATTTTGCCTTCAGTAATTAAGAACTTTCTTCAATAACTGACCAGAAACATCAGAAGACTCGTTCCACTAATATTATTAGGAGGAATGATAAAAACATCTGGTTACCTTTTATTCTCAACACAACGAAATGTTCTCTTTTGTTGGGAACAACATTTTAATATTGTATTAGCTTTGTAAATTCGGATAAAAGAAATTATTTGTTTGTATCTTGTTTGTTGTATGAACATTTTTGTTGTATTAAAGCTACTGTGTATGAGTTTGAACTTTCATCATTTCAAATTGCATTGTGGGTAATAATGTGTATGTAGAGTATCACCCACTAAAAATAATTACATTCTATGTTTTTCTATTAATGAGTGTATTTTAAGGAACTGTACTGTACTGAATCTCATATAGTAACTGTCCATATTACTCCATTGTGACAATGAAAATCCTCTTTATCTTTGTAATCCGATTATTAACTAATGATAAGAAACCCATCGCTACCTTGATTTTAAGTTAGGAACACACCATTAGATAGTACCCCAAGGTCATATTGAAATTTCAATTGTTAGTAGTTCCCTTAAAAATGAAAGAAGTTTTTCCGTACTGTAATTTTAGCGTATGACAATGAAACTCGCATACTAAATCAAACTCTATACATACCTCCATAAAATATAGCTACACATTATCGCTGTCTCCTTTCGACAATGCTGATTAGGGAGCTTTTTCAATCGCATTGGGAACAGTTACACAGTGTAACAACGATTGCAGTGAGCACACTTTAGCGACAATGTAGCTTTTTGCTTTCAGTGGTGTGTTATGTATTTGTATCCAAATAAATGTGCAATGCTGTAAAATAAAATTATTATTATTATTAATTATTATTATCATTATTATTATTATTATTATTATTATTGTTATTATTATTATTATTATTATTATTATTATTATTATTATTATTATTATTATATAGAAATAACATAAAAAGGAACCTACTGTATAATTAGTAAACTACAGTAAATTATAGTGAATGCACTAAAAATAGAAGGTTGGTTTTTAATATTCAGTTTCCAACAGAGATTATTATTGTTAATTATTATTTAATACATACTGTAATATAAGAATTTTACCATTTTCATTTTTTCCCTTTGGAATATAGCCCTTGTTTATTGAGATGATTTGTTACATGAGTGTTAGGCGTACAATTATTCCATGACCTTTGAATTAATTCAGCACTCAATAATTTCCATGCATAATATTAATAGCCTAATGGCATTGTTAAAAGCTTGTAATTATCAACAGTCCTTTTCTAATGTAAACACATAAAAGTATGTCTTAACTGATACTCTGTAGACATATCTTACACTTTGTAATTCAAGTGTTTTAATATTGATTTGTCTCATAATTTCCTTTGCCTTGTCTTGACATTGTTTTCTTAACTTTCACACTGAGCAGTTAACACCATACTGTTTATCCCAGTAGTCCTGAAGAAGGCCAGATTAGGCTAATATTCTAAACTCTATGGCCACTACTGGCGCCAAAATTGAATGGCAACAGCATTCTAAACTTGAAAATAAAAAGTATTTTACTGTAATTTTTATATTTTCACTGAAAATTTATTCTTTGCCAATAAACAGAAATGCCCTTCTTTTTGTATTTCATTGATTTACCATTACGGTATCTGCCAGCAGTTTTTGTGGTAAAATGTCTGCGAAGTAAATAGTTTAAATCTGTTAGTTTTATTTTTCAAATTTTGTGACTTGTTATCCTGAATTAAACAAGATTCTTAAGGTTTTCTTAAATCAACAGTAAACTTAATATACTAGAGTATATCCAATGCCCCATGCCTGTCTCTGCTCACTAGACTGTACAGCTAGACCAGCTGATAACGCCACTAATCTTGTGCAGACAATGTCAAATGCCAAGGTCAGGCTTATTTTTTTATAGTGGAATATTTGTTTGCTCAATAATCATAACGGGTCATTTACAATATCAACATTTTTGCAAGTGTGACAAGACTCTATTTATACCTTGTTTAGCGAACCCGCTGACTGCAAATATTGATGATTTCGAATAAAAATAAAATTTTCTTTTTGGCCAATTAATGCACCCGTCATAAAAAAGTGGAAATTTCAGAAAAAAATAAAAGTTTTTATTTTTATTACATCCTCTGCTGCCTTGAAGTCTTCAAAGATATGTATATTTCTTGCTAATGATATAAATTTGAAGCATTTAACCATCCTGTTTTACATTCACCAATAAATGTTGATTTTGCAAAACCCATTCTCCATTTTGTTGCTTACAACGTAAGGAGGGAGAGGGTGGTGGATGAAGGGGAGGGCACACTAGGATCTGAATAGGGAGTAGTAAGGATGTTCCTTTCCCTATTAACAAGGTCTTTGAGGGTCCTAGTTGTGTAAGTTTTGGGGCATAGTATACTGTACCTAGCAATCTATTCTTAAACAATTTTACACATGGTTCAAGAAATTCTTTGTGCTGCTGCAGCCAGAAGGGTTAGACATAATCAATTCCCTGTCAAGGATTACTGTAGATATATTATAATAAAACATTTTAAGTTTTCCACCAGTGGCGTCGACTCTTTTTGGGGGCCCCTAAGAAGTGAGCGAAGCGAGCGTTAAGTTTTTTCAAGCGGAGTGAGCAAACAGACGCAGGGGGCAAGGGGACGCACAGGACCCCGGACGAAGTCCATGGAGTGAAGGCCCCTATTGGGGGTCCGAGCGGGCTTCACGCTCAGAGCTTATGTCATTTATAAACTGTTAACAGAGAACATAAAATGGTCCATGACTGATGAAATATTTTGGACAAATCCGGCATTGAATACCTAGGCAAACTTTCGAAACTGGTATAGGCCTACCACTTAGGCATATGTATTCTATGTAGGTGTAAATAAATAAAGATGATGTTTTAGTAAGAAACAAAACATGTTTTCATAACGTATATACAATGCAAATCAGATTGATCACAAAATCAGAAAAAAATGTCAAACATCAGAACTTTTATTGTTTAAAACTCTCGGGGCCCCATTGAATGAAACTATGGTATTATAGTTTATATTATATATTTTTAAAACTACAATGTCGGAACCCTCGTGCCTGGGGTCCCTGTCGCTCCTCCCCCCAACAGACCCTCCCCCTCATTTCCACCCTCCTCTAAAAGTATGTTGTCTAAGAAGTTGTAAAAAAAGTCTTGTCTTAGTTAACATTCATCCACCTACACATCATAGAAGGGTCCATGCCATTCAAAACAGGAAAAGTAAAATCAGTCAATCAATTAATCAGTTATTTATTTATCATCATGAAACTGATAAAACAGAATTTAGTACATAATTAGTTATTTTAACAATAATAATGAAATTAGTTCAGTTATCAACAAGTAAGGTCTATTATTAGGAGATGGATACTAAACTTTACAGGGAAATTACTTACTGTACATATGTACTGCTTCAAGTGTCAGTGTTGTCAAGAAATGCTAAAGACGTATTTTTTTCTTTCCCAATAATTTTATGCACATTCAATATGGTGGTGATGATGATAGTAATAATAATGTAGGAGGTAGTACAATCTAGCATAGTTTACAGTGTACAGTATTGTTGGAATGTATTGTTGGAAGAGGTGGTATGATTCAAGCTCATTATGTGTGTTTAGTCAAGTGTG